CTGCTGTGAATGAGACAGAATATTACAGTCTAATAGAACTGCTGCATGTCAACCTTCTCAGGTGCAAAATTGGTATCAGAAGGCCATGGACACTTGCTCTACCACACACCAACTGCTTGCTACAGGTAATTATGTATCTTCTGTTTTGTTTTATAAAAGCATATTATGTAACTTTCAGATTTTAAATTTCTCTGTGAATATTACTGTGAATGAGACAGAATATTACAGTCTAATAGAACTGCTGCATGTCAACCTTCTCAGGTGCAAAATTGGTATCAGAAGGCCATGGACACTTGCTCTACCACACACCAACTGCTTGCTACAGGTAATTATGTATCTTCTGTTTTGTTTTATAAAAGCATATTATGTAACTTTCAGATTTTAAATTTCTCTGTGAATATTACTATTAGCAGGTCCTAAAAGGAATTTTCTCCCTGAAAGCACAAAAGCTTTCAAATACAAGCCTCTAAAGAAAAATGTCTTTCTTTACTTCTTCCAACTAAAATCACTGTAGCTAAATGGATCAACTTTGGATGTTAATGGAATACACAAACTGTAAGAGTTACTATTTAAAATTAAGGCTATTATCCTTAAAATAATAAAAGTGCTAAATGCTCTTTCAAACATAAAACAAAACCAGAGAAATCAAGACAACCATGCAGACAGAAAAATCTCTAAAATATTTGACTTCTACTTAAAATGAAACTATTAAAAAAATGGGCTAAGTACTAGCCTAAGGTAGTGTTAAGCCACGTTTCTGCTCTTTCGTATTCCTGGTAACAAAACTAACAGCAGCACAACTTACAGCAGCTGCTTAAGTATACGTAAATACAGCAGACTTTGCCTGCAGTTTCCACAGTGCCAGGCTAATCCATCTCACTTAAGACGTTCCCAATGTAATTCAGGACCTTTCATAATTCCTGAACTAGGAGAATAGTCTACCGCAGTGGCTTTCTGAAACTTTTAAGAAAGATGAAATAAGTATTATAAAGTCTCACAAGAAGGATGAGAGAAATTCCACATGGTAGAAAACGTCAAAGCAGTCATCCTAAGTTTATCCTACTTAGCCTCAACTGCTGAGTGATATGTTCTATGTGAATTAACTGTGTTTACTGAACTCTTTGAGGCTTATCTGTGGAGCAAAATTCTACAAAGTAAAACCCATTAATTTTTCAGAGCTGCAAACCAATCATAAAAAGTCTAAAGTGCTTCCCAAGGATTTCTCTATTTTCTACCCTTCCCTTGGGGAGCAAAAGGTGGGGCGCAAATAAAAATCAAAGGAACAGTAGAATACTGCTAATGCACTGAAGCTAATTCATAGTAAGCACAATTTTTGCAGCCCTTCGAGCACTGACATATCTTCAAAAATTTACCTTAGAAAGAAAACAAGAAAGGGAAAACTGTCGTGGATTTGCTCCAGCTTTTGCAGACCTAGGAAATTTTTTTTGTTTGCTCTGGGGTTGCTGTTTATGCCAATGTCAACATTTAACGAAATAATTTTAGCCATAAATGTTAAAAAAATCCTTAATGTATGTTAACTCCAAGTTAACAATTAGTATACTCCGGAATATTAAATTTCTTACGTATTACTCATTTCTCGAATTTTAGATTCCCTGATTACTCATGTGGAAATGGTGACAGAGATTGTTCTTCCTACAGTTTTCACACTCTGTGTATTCATCAGTATTGTCCTACTAATATTCTACCTTCGAAATCATTGATAAAATTGCATGCTTAAACACATCTTCATTTTGCATAATAAATAAAATGCAACTGTTTTATTATATTGGTTAAAGTTTACCACAGATGCTGCTTTTTATACCACTGTAAAGATAAAGAAATACTACTTTACCTATCCACCTAGCGCTTTTACAGTTTTTTCTATTCAATTCCTAAAATATAATTTAAATTTTTTTATCAAAACCCAAGTACATTTTCTTTCTGCATTACTTTCTACTAATTTTAAGTAGCAGATTTTATGTTTCTTATTATTTTGGAAACTACTACACATTTTGTTCACCAGAAAAATAGTTAGCTAAGATTAAAGTGATTCAAATCTTGCCAGTACAAATTTCAAGTGATTAAAAGCTGTTTGCAAATTCTGATTTCAGTCTGTTCATCAACAGACTTTTAATTATCATATAACTGCTATTTGAAGAGAGACAGACACAATTTTAAAATGGAAAAGGATTTAAATATTCCAAGAGCAGTGCTTAAACATTAACTTATTATTCATGTCTAAAAGTTAGGATAATATATGCCTTACTATTTAGGTGTGGAGAAGAATTATTTGAAGTGATTAATCAAAAATGACAACTGCTGAGTCAGATTTAAACCAAGGACTCTTATCTCCCTAGTTTTGTTTACAGGGAACTAAGTTTATCTCATAAGACTTTATAATATATTACACACAGAAATGTGTATTATAAGTAATCCAAGCACTTCCGGAATGTAATATTCCACCTCAGATTCACTTTTACTGCAGGTAGGAACAAGTTAAGTACATGATTATAAAAAATTTGTTCCAGAATATGGCCATCTGGCTACATTTGTCCTTCTGTTGTACTTGAAATTATTCCTCTGAAGAAAAGCAACAAACAAGTTTCCTATTTAGCTTGCACTATAATTTCAATGCTGCATGTGCATATTCTGAATGCAGAGTAGCAGTACGTAAATCCAAAAAACAACCTTGTTCTTAGCTTCTCTTCAAAGGCTTTAACTATTAAACTGATAGTTATTAAGATGTACTATTAGGAAAGGGATAAGAAATAAGATTTACTGAGGAGAAACCAGAAATGATAGAAATTCATAGTTTTTAAAAAGCATGAATATTAGGGTTTTCCTTATTCTTATTTATGAATAGTTAATAGTTTCTTTTATGCAAAATGTTTCTGTCTCAATGCAAAATGTTTCTGTCTCAAATTAGTTAATCAGCATGTACTACACTACATAATTGTTTAAAGTTACGCTACCAAAATGTTACATACACTATCTAATCAATGTAAGAACATATGCAACTGTCAGGAATTAACCCCAACATATTTAAATGATTATCCCCAGCCAATTATACTGAACATTTTTTTCAGAAAATTATGCAAAAGTATACAAGACAACACTGTTAAAATAATTCATTTTGCATTGAGGGAAAAAAAATGAATCTAAAGAAGAGAGAGAAGTATATCCAAGAATATTCCAAAATATAAATACAGGGACAAAGAAAACCAAACTGTCAAAAGTTCACAATGCCCTGGATGAGCAGCTTTCCAAATATATCTGGATGATGAAATGTCACTTGGCACCAGGAAAACATCATTGCTTGTTTTGTTGTGTTAAGATAATTCACACTTTGAACAGTATGTGATTGCATTCTTAATGAATAAAAATAAAATTTAAAACCCCAAAGTGCAGAACTTTATTGAATGTTTGTAAATATACGAACAAAAATATCTTCTATATTTTCAAAATAATTATACTGTACATTCATAATCACACAACATTTATAAACAAGCTAGATGCGTACAGATGAATTATGGTCACACTTCAAGCATACCAAGGCAAATAACTCAGTAAGATGTACTGTTCTTCAAATCACAGAGTGTTTCTAAATATATTGTTGGGACACAGATAATACTGAACTTTCCTCTTTACTGTACCTTTCAAGTGCCTGCCTGTAGAGTAATACGCATTTATGTGAAATGCACCTGACTGCACTTAGCCATTGTAATAAAATACATTCTTTCTTCACTGCTTCCATTAACTGTGGAATCGGAAAAGAGACCTGCATAGACAAAATAAAAAGATGTGATTAGACACTATTCTTAGAAAGGGAAATTGTAGAGATTAGTTCCTGTAGCAGCTTCAAGAACTGGTTTCAAAACTTCAGTTTTACTGAAAGGAGCACTTCATGACAAAAACTGAGAATGACAGGAAAGCTTTACCAAAACATTACCCTGTATCAAACCTCACCCCAAAAAGGCAAATTATTTCTATACCAGTCTATATGCTTAATTCTTCCCCATTCTCATGCTTTTTCACTTGTTCTACATTTGATTGCAGCAAGGCGTCTTCCCTCCTTAGCACCTGCTTGCTTCTCTGACTAGAAGCCAGCACTCAATAAAAGGTAAATTTCTCTTCAAACCCATTCTCAGATACACTGGCAAAGATTTTTAGAAATAAGTTATAAGATATTGTATAGAATATTTAACAATCATGTCATATTTTGAAATATTCTGTCATTTTAACTCTAAAAACATAATTCAGCAAAGGTGAGAAGGCAGAAAGTCACCACTGTGTGAAAATCTTTTACATTCTATAAATACCATCTCACCCTGTTACTAAAAGACAAAACATTGTTTGCTCTTGCTGAAGATACAGGTAAGAAAAAGTACAGATCCACTGAACCCAGTATAAAAACTGAATTTGAAATGTGTACTTTCATTATTTCATGTCTCCACAAATATTCCTTACCTATATTGTTTGATGTTATATGTTCAACGGGAGGATTAGTACTAATTTGCCATGTTGTTTTAACCTCCTTCTGTCCATGCCCACTACTTATGTCCACCTTCCATATTTCTGGGTGATCACTGATAGAATAATCAAGAAATGTCAAAATTCAGTCAGGTATTCAGTCACATCTGAATTTTTATGCTGCAAAGATTGAAGTTTCTCTTACTTTTGATAGAACTTCTTGACAACTGCTGGTCTGATCGGCAGTTGAAACACATGCTTCTCATTTAGAGGGTTTTCCTTATAATACTTCATGCAAATTCTACAATAAGAATCAATTAGTTACTAACCTTCTTTGGAGAACTGCATGTACAACACTGCATAAACCTTGTGCAAAATTAACAACACTCTCAGATTTTATGATTTCCTTTGTTTTTCAATTTTAGTCACAAAACAAAATTTAACAGGAGGATCCAACGGCTACTTCTGCAGTCTCATAATCATCAACATTAAGTTGGGTTGCTTTTTTTGTTTTTGAAAAGTTTCTTTACAACTGTCGAAGAGAACCTATTTGCTACTGTCCTTTAAAGAGCAAGAAGTAAAAATGAAATAATTACTGTGTCAAAGGGAAGAGGTTCTCATGTTTAAACTGAAGTAAGACTGTACAGCTGACCATTATTTCCAGCATATGGTGAAGCTTTTGAACACGATGAACTTGTTCGTGCAGATCTACTGATGTGGAAATGAAGTAATCCTGGAACAGCAAATAGCTTCTGCTCTTAACTGGACACTCAATTTCTACACACACACAACACATCCTCAGTATACTAAAATAACTTTCCTGCTGCTTCTGAGAAGCCAAAATTTTAAGAATGGCCCAGCAGAGTCAGAACAAAGTTCCATGCTATCAAAGCATGAACAAAGGTTCACCGTCCTGCCTGACAACGACCCATGTCAGATACCTAGGAAATAATATATTAATAAGGAAACAACATAATGACATTTCTGCAGTATATTGTCCCATCCTCATGCATTGCATTTCAGTTTCTCAGCTTATAGGAATGATATGACTTGCAACCCACCATCAGCTAAGTGTGCTGTACTTTATACTGCTTTCAGAGTTTAAAAAAAAAAAAAAAAAAGCACATCTCACCAAGTAGGTTAATGTTGCCAGTTCCTGGCCTGTAAATTGAACAAGGGGGGGGAAAAAAAATTTAAATTTATTGTATAGTGTCAGATGAAATACAAGCAACATTCAGGTAATCAAACAGGGAATTCTACCACAGAAAAGGGGAAAGTCACTAGCACTGCGATGTTATTTATTGTCATGATTACTCATTCAAAACAAGAAAAACCCTGTAAAGTGGCATGGTAAAGGCATTATCTGATTTACCACCAAGGTTGCACAATGAAGAAACCTACAGCATACTTTGAGACAACCATCCTCCTTCGGACACACAGGTTTACAAACAGTGAAAATAAAACAGCAAATGAAACAAAGAATGAAAACAGGATGACAAAGCAAAAAGGAAATCAAGAAATGAAGAGATGAAGGAAAAGAAAGTGGGTAACACCAATGGTAAACTGCCCCCTCCCCTCCCCCCGATTCAGAACAAAAATAAAGCTATAATACTAAAAACAAAGCCACAACGTTTTCAAGAAAAAAATGTACTTTACAAAAATCCTTCCACTTTTGTTTCCAGTATAATATACATATATATGAGTAATCAAAAATATCTTTCTAAATACTATGAACTGTACAAACACAGCTATTACATATAAATACCCTCGCCTGATATCTTTTTAACCCACGTAGACCATAAAGGAAAAGACAGAAAGAGCACGAGAATCTTATTTTTTCACCTACAGCAAACAGGTCAGAAAACAAAACAGTCCACACTTATATAAATCTGGTGTTTATTTTACTTGAAGTTCAACCTAAAGTTTTTTTCAAATTGAAAAAGAAATACATGGTTATGCAAGCTATAGTTATTTTGAAACAAATTCATTTTTTAAATTTTGAAACCGTATACAACTGAAAAGTACAATTACTAAGGAGGATGGAAACAGCACTTCAGCAGATGGGAGCAGAAGTGAGATCAAGATTACCAAAAACTTTGTTATTTCATGCATGGAGAACCTTTATCTTGAATTTCTAATCATGTTAACGGATATCAGGCTTACCTATGAAAAAACTGACATAATCCTTCTTCATCTTATCCAAACCAATCTCCAAGAGCATTTGAATTGGAGTAATGCCACTGAGGGAAACGACCTCTATCTTTCCATGATAAGACTGTTGAATCAATTTACTTAGCAAACTGCTACTCCCTTGATGAATCTAAAAATTAGAAAAGTTTTCTTGTGATGTAACTGCGTACAAAGTATCATAAACATTGTTTAGAAGTACAATACTATGGAAACAGAGGCAAACTGTGACACGTGAAAGTAATTCAAAAACAATACAACACAGAAAAGAGGAGCAGTTAAGTGACAAGAACTATATTCTACTTCAAACAACTCAAAATTATAAAATTTATTGTGAAATACAAATACATACCCATGGCTGTATCTCACCACGTTCCAAGGATTTTATGATTAGTGTGAAACACTCTATCAACTCCTGATAAGAACTGACACCTTAAGAAAAGAAGATCATAGAATCATAGAATCATAGAATCATTAAGGTTGGAAAAGACCTCTAAGATCATCCAGTCCAACTGTTAACCCAACACCACTACCATGCCCACTAAACCATGTCCCTAAGCGCCTCATCTACACATCTTTTAAATACCTCCAGGGATGGTGACTCCACCACTTCCCTGGGCAGCCTGTTCCAAGTCCTGAACACTGTTTCAATGAGGAAGAACCTCTCCTGGTGCAACTTGAGGCCATTTCCTCTTGTCCTATCGCTTGTTACTTGGAAGAAGAGACCAACACCTACCTCATACAACCTCCTTTCAGGTAGTTGTACAGAGCGATAAGGTCTCCCCTCAGCCTCCTTTTCTCTAGGCTAAACAGCCCCAGTTCCCTCAGCCGCTCCTAATCAGACTTGTTCTCTAGACCCTTCACCAGCTTCGTTGCCCTTCTCTGGACACGCTCCAGGACCTCAATGTCCTTCTTGTAGTGAGGGGCCCAAAACCGAACACGGGATTCGAGGTGCGGCCTCACCAGTGCTGAGTACAGGGGCACGATCACCTCCCTACTCCTGCTGGCCACACTGTTTCTGATACAGATACAATATTTTATTTATCAATCCAGGCTCGCTCTCTAGCTGTTAAGTCAATAACAATAGGCCAACACATACCTGTGAGAACAAAACCCCTCGTTTAAAGAATGATAGCTGAAATGACAGATTGCACTGCTTTTTGTTAAGTTTGTCATATCATGACTTTAAAAAGGGTTACTCTAAAGAATGATCAAAAGAGACCACTGAACTGCATATGATTCTTAGAGAACAGTACATGGCAGAAGCAGGTTGTCATATAACACATTTTGGCTACATTCTCTCTATATACATTGCAGCTCAACACATTTTATAAATTTAACTGAACAGCATCTATATAGAATATGAACTATTAGTATCTATTAATCCAACTAACTGCTTCCTAAGCAAGAAATAAGACTCTGCACATTGTGCAGCTGACACTGCCCTTAAGCAGGACACGTTGCAGTCATGACAGTACATTTTAGCTATCTAGTTTCAATTCAAACAACAGTGGTTGCACTAACAGGAATGAAAGGGATTTAGAAGTTACATACTCCATCCCGCAAACAGAAAGGAGTTGTTATAATCTCTGGAACAGCTTAACAAGTTAATTAGTAATCTGAAAAAATAGTAATAAATAAATAAAAATGCATTTTACTAAAGGACTCTGAGTGGTATTACAAGAAGGATAAAGTTTGTGCGCAGCTTTATCAACTTAAAAATTGTCCTTCGGACCTAAAAAGACAATTTTATACACAAAGTTTTCAGTTTTAGAGCAGATGAGTACTACTGATTGTTTAGTACCTTTTACAATTAAACAAAATGAAATATAGTATCTCCTGCTAGATGTTGGTGTAACTTTATATGTTGTACAAAAGTATATCATCTTACATACCTAAAATTAGCTTTTTAGAAAAAGCCTGTTAATAACAATTTTCTGGAGAGCCGATCAGTCCTTAAAACTCAGAGGAATTTATATTCATTTCACTGAGAAAGCAAGACAGTATAATAGATACAGAGAACAGAAGAATTAAAGGAAAACAGATGGGGTAAAATACCACAATACACTTACTTCTCATTTTGCACCATAATTGTTCAGCAAAATCCAGGTCTCCTCGCTCACTGAAGATTGATTTTATTGAACTGTCCACGGCAGCAGTGTCACATTTGATTTTCTGAAAGAGTTTGTTTCTATTAAGTAAAACAAGTATGCCTAAGATTCAAAGACCTTATGAATTCAAATTTTCTCCAGAGATCAGAATTGGGTGCTTCACTGATTTCTCCCCTTTTCCAGGGAAACTACCGCTTAGAAACTACTACTGCATAGTAATTTGGAAGCATATTTTTATTTAAAAGTCAGACTAATTCTTTTCAGAATTATCACACTGGATAATCACTAGCTTTGGACCAGGAAGTGAAGCCTACTATCAGAAAGACTTTTGATCATACCAAGTACAGCTCAATCAGACTGTCTAGTAAGAACCAGCTGCTTGGCTCAAGATGGTCCTTTTCGCCTTATGATGCACAGACCACTGGTAAATAGCAAGAATATAGTCCAGCAAGCACTAACTGAGAATATGGCTTATGTTACACTGAAGTCATAGATAATTAAATAACTGTATGTATACCTAGCAGTGCCCTGGGAGGCCAAAATTAATAAAATGTGTATTCTCCAAACAATTTTCCTGTTCTCCTGATCCTGAATATTTCTGGTTTAGCTGATACAGAAATCATTACATTTTTAGCTCATGAACAAAATGCAACCTCCCTCTCAAAAGGAAAAAGATCCAAACCTTTCCTTGTAGACTGAAAGGGAAAAAATCTTAATGTAACTGAAGACGTTTTTATGATTTGGATTTTTCCGTTGCTTTAGAGTATCATAAACCTCTAGATAAATAGGACAAATACCCAACTGATACCATTAAATTGGCCCAAAATCATTAAATTAGGCAAGAAAAGCAAATCAGTGACAGAACGCAATGGCACAAAGGTCAGCATTCCTGAAAGAAACTAGGACGTCATGAGACTGTTAGCTTTAGGAGATGACAGATGATGGTTAAGACAAGGGAGTGCGACTGCAGTTGATACAATACAGTTCAATTTGCAAGCTTTTGGTAGTGAAAAAGAAAGGGAAAGAAGCAAATCAAAATAGCTTCACACCACTAAGTTATATAACACTGGTAGACCATTTAGAATAAAAAAAAAGAGGGAGGTTCTTCTGAAGGTAAAATTACAGTGGACTTTCTATTAGAGGATAGCTATGGAATTCCTGATTTTGCCTGTAAGGCCTTCTTCCATTATTTTTACACTGCAGAAACAGAAAGAGATCTATCTTTCTTTACATCTTTATGTCTATATATTTACACTTATACATAGATAATACACAAGACATAGGCAAAATTTGAAATAACTACAGTTATAAGGGAAACAAGATGACAGGGCAATTGGTAAGAAATTACATATACCTCTGTTTCATTGCTGTTTCCAGATATACAATATCCATCCAGTTTCTTCTTTAAATCTAGTAAAGAAGAAAAATAAATTTCACCACTATGAAAAAAAAAATATCATCAAACCGATCGTATAAATCCCTGGGCACACAATAATTAACAAATACACTGACTGGATGGCTAATAGACAAAACTTACCCATTTTAAAATTGTTTTTACTAGGTAAGCATTTAGCCTGAAAAGATCCATTTCTTAATATTTTTTATTATAAGCTATACATTTTCCCTATATACCTTTACTACATTCTCTTATCTAAGCATTAACTTGTTAAGTTTCAGTGACGAAGCAGGAAGGGATAGCAGGTGATCTAATAAGTGTCTCTGGTTTTCTTCCACATGTATTTGTCAGAGAGAGTTTTTGTCTGTTTCTCCAAGTTTTATCTACATACTAAAAAAATTTACAGTTGCATTTGAAAATCTCTTGGTGCATTCCTACATCTGATTCTCTTTTTAGATTTGTTTACTAGTATCTTAAACTTCTGGCAAGACACACATTATTCACAACAGTTTTCAGAAGGAATCAGTAATTTTGGATGCTTAATTTTAAGATGCCATCAAAGTACTGTCTTCCACCACCAACGCGACACTTAGCAGGTTTAGAAGTTCATGTGCATGTCAGATAACTTGAAAGACACATTCAGAACTCTCTCAGTTGCTTTTGAAACATAATTGTGTCGTTTCATAAAGAAACAATTACTACTTTTATACAAGATATTACAACAAAGAAAAATGACAGAGATGTACTGACTAACCTATTTAACTATTTTGTACAGGTGGTTATAGCCTAGAAATTAACATCTCTAATTCTAATACTTTAAAAATTGTACGTGGAATTTCTTTTTATTTCTGTGAAATGTGACATCCTCCTCTCCCCATGTAACAAGCAGCAATTACCAGTCAGAAATTCCTGGACCAGTTCAACAGCTGATTCAGACTCTATGGGCTCAGGCCACTCAGTCACACCTGTCTTCAAACCTTCGGCCAAAGCCTAAAGGCAGCATCAAAAACAACACAAATCAGTTCTTGTTTGAGGTTCTGCATGTGTCATACTTAAAACTGTAGTTAACTTCTCCAAGAATCATACATCTCTCTCCGTACAGCTAACCAGGAATTTAGAAACTTCTTGAATTTCCTGGCTTTCATGTTCATGATTTGTCCTTTTTGTGTTCAAGATTCTTAAAACTGAACTCAAAGTTTATTCTAAAGTAAAAGCTTAAAGTTATCTTTGAAACACCTGATAAGTTTTAAATAAAGTAAATTATTAAAACATAAAATCACCATTCAATGTAAATCTGAAATTGGAATATCTTACTTATACTTACAAGCAGAAACTGCAGTTCTCTATATAGCTGATATACAGGACTTCTGGGGTCCCCAGACTCCAGTGTAATATTCTGAAAGTCCCACAAGTTTATGTCAGTTTCAAACTTTAGAAATCAAGTGTCCTAAAATTTTCATTACTGAAACGCATATTAGCATAATTTATAATTTAGATTATGAACACATTGTGCTGCTTATATAAAAAATAATTAACACAAATGTCAAGAGTCAAACTTATTTTCTCTCCTTTACACTACTCACAATGTAAACCGTGGAAACAGTTTGGGTTTGTTTGCTTTTTCCTTCTTGACTTACCAGTGTGGCAGCTGAAATTAGTGGGGGTGTCTCCAGAATCTTATCTACAGTATTCCACGTAATATCAACATAGATATTGCTTTCAGATTCTACAATTGTGTCCTCTATTGCAGCAGCTCTAATAAGTTCATACTGAGCAAATCCTTTTGTCATCACCTAAAATGAACAGATTTAAAAAAAAAAAAAACCACCACCACAACATTGATTGTTTTGTACCTATGCAAAATATTTTTAAAAGCATTTCACACACACACAAATAGGTCTTATATCAGACAAATGCATTACAACACAGGGAGCTCAAACGTTACTTCAAAAGAGACTATTATGCTATAGAATCATACTAAGATGAGATTATAAATAGAATCTATAAAGCTTCCCAAAGCCAAAACCAGGGTTTTTAAACTTAGATTGGAGGCATGACAGGTTGTAAAAACCTACAATAGATGAATGATGTTTCATTTTATGTGCCATTTTGAGCTCTTCCAGGTTTGCAAAACAGGTTTTATCAGCTGTAGGACCTAGGAAAGGAAAAAAAGTAAGAATCAAAAAAACATTTGACACAATTCAAATTTGGCACTTAAAATTAATTCTCATATACTCCATTCGGTCAATACAACTCATGTTGTTCTTTAGAAAGCAGGCATTCTTCTTTCATTTGTCCTATTGACAATAAGAGCTGGTGTTAACATATAAATGTTTAGTAAGAGTCAGTACTTGTGTAAGAAGTTGAAGGCAGCAATTTCAATTTGCTAAGTTATTGCACCTGACTGAAGTTAGGCCTGCACAGATACTGTTGCATTAAGTATATTAAAAAGTTATTTCCCCCACACAGCATGGGTTAGAAACAACTTTTCTTTTCTCTCTTTTTTTTCCCCCCTCTTGTTCTTTAAAACAAGGAATATAGAGCAGGACGAAGCCAACATCAACACAAAGGACAAAGACGGCATCACTACATCAATACTCCCACATTTTTAAGCCCTCCTCATTTAATTTTATGTGTAACATTATAACCTTACCATCACATGTAACCATATAAAAATTGATTCCTGTGATTTTGTTTCCAGCTTTGAGAGGCTCAGCTCCAAGCCAACAAGTATGTTCAGGATCAGAACCATCACACCTTATCCAGAGGGGAGGAAGCACAACCAGTTCACTTATCTTCAAGTGGGTCATGTTTGGATTTTGTACCATTGTAAATAAGGAAATCAACTGCCTGGAGAAATAAACAGGAAAAAAATAAGATGCCGGCAAGTATGGCTAATTCTATCCCTTACATAAAATTTAACTCCTATCTACCATGCTTCGTTAGCAGACATCAAATCATTTTACAAAAAGAATGCAGTATTACAATCCTCTTTTTACAGGTAGAACAGTGAAGTCACAAAGAAGTAAGATATCATAACTGAGAATATATTTAATATAATATTTTAATTTAGACTAAAGATTCTCAAATCATAATTGAATTCTACATTTTAAGCATGTTAAAATGTAAGTTAGTTAAGCAAACTAGTCACCATGTTTTGATACCATGCCTTGGTATTTTAATAACAGCCAAAGACCCCAATCAGATTTTTTTTTTTTTTTTAAAAACAGAAGCCTTACAAAAACAAGCATTGAAGTCTTAGTAAGCTTTCTTTGCTCACCTACACCCAGACAGCCCCATTAACCTAATGGGACAGTTCACAAGTGCTTTTCCAGTACCTTGACTTTAGCTACTTTGTTAGGAATACTTTCAGCCAGGGGAGGCCATTTTGCAGGATCAAAAATGGTCATATCTCCTCACTAAACTAATGAGGAATTTAATTTTGGGCGATTGCAAATAATACACGTTCTAAATACTAGGAAGAGAGACAAAAGTTGCAAAAGAAAATTACATCAAGATGGGAGGCAGACCTTTGACACTTACTTTGCTCTTCTGACAGAAAGAGCTACTGGTCCAGAACTCTCCTTTGGTAAAAGCTCAGAGGCATAAATAGCATCTTCTGCTTTTGATTCTTCCATCAGACCACTTTCTTCATTGTGTCGCTTTAAGAGAAATGCACAGATAAGTCAAAAAATGCAAGGTATGTGAAAATATTTCATGGGAATTCAAGTCTATATTACATTTAAAAAATGAACAACATATACACTTACTGCTTTCTGTAAAATATATATCATACTGTTTCCATTCCAAAATCTTTCAGTGGGACTTTTGCAGCTACCACCAATCAAACAGATCTCTACATCAGTCTGGAAAAAAAAAATCAAAACTTTTTAATACACTACATATAAATGCTGCATTTCAGCAATTTTTTATAACAGAAATTGCAAAATTAACTAATTCCACAAACTGTTTTCCAACCCTATTGCAACCATTCATGAATCTAAGGCTTTCTTACTTCAGGAGAACACAGTTACTGCATGCCATAGGTGGAATCAAATCAACTGTGAAAATGCAACAACTTTCAACTAACCAACATAGAAAATTTAACCTCTAACAGGTTGATTCTATAAGAAACTGAAGTTTGGTTCCAAGAACAAAACTTCAGATAATCTGAGATATGAGGGATCATTGTTGCCAAGTAGTGACTACAGTCACTAGATATCCTTGAGATGGAGAATACTCATTTGAAGTAACATTAAATATCAATTGATCACTTCTCTTAATGACTCATGAGAGCTCTAAATGCTGTTTGGAGACATTAAATAACTCAAGCCTGTTCTTGAGAAGGAAGGAATATCAATCTCTACTTAGGCTTTTGCATACACACAGAGAAGTATTGCTTATTCCTCATATCTAGTCAGTTTTTCACATTGCTGTATCTTTAAATAACCACCTGATTTTATTTTCAAACTATCATCAAACTTGTTTAAATCCCAAGATTAATACAACTAAATAGCATTAGAGATTTTCCAGCCATCCCTATGTTCCAAAAGCCATCAGAAGCAATTGCCGTTTTCGCACATACATCCCATTCCCTATAAAAGTACCTAGATAAAAAGCGTGCTGTCAGAAGTTGCAAATTTGAAGATCTGGATTACCCGCATGAAAATACTCCCTCAGGGCAGCTGCTGTAGCAACTCCTTCCCCTCCTCCCAGCAGCCACCCGCTGCCCCACCCCCCTTCTGCACTTCGCACGACCTCCGGCCCATAACACTCTCACATGTACTTGATCCTTATAATAATTTTAAACAAGTTAACAAGGTGCAAAAAATCCGGGGGAACGCAGGAATGAGCAGGGAGGTGAAGGCCGGTGATGGCCCCGGGAGGGCGGCACTCTGGGTACCTGGGTCTCCTCCATCCTGAGGTAAAGGCAGATCTAAAGAGGTATTGCTGAGGTAAACTTTCCTTTTTTACGTGATATCACCATACATATCTCAGCTGTTGATCAATAGCTGCATGTTTTAAACGTACAGACTCAGGTTACATGGCTGTATTTTCACATATATATTTACCTCAAAGAGATACAGATGTTCAGGGATACTTTCCCTTCCTTCTTCATATATTCTGAAGGAAAAAGAAAATGTTAAGGTACATAAAGTTTTTTTGCTCTGTATTGCTCATTAAACAGCAAGTTTAACTGCATAAAAAGACATGGGTCTACAATCAGAGCCGCAGCA